CTCACCATTGACCTCGATGAGCTGCTGAAGAAAGGCCCTCATGGCTTGGGCCATGCTGGTGTTCCTGGGGATCAACCATCCTCCATCGTCGAAGATGTAGGCGTCGTGAGTGGCGCTGAACTCACCCGCAGATCCAAGCGGCTTGTGGACATGGGTCACTGTTGCCTTGAACCCACGTCGATGTCCCTGCTCATCGATGCAAGGCACCAGTCTGCAACACGTCGGAGTTGCAAGCCCTGGGCCACGGCCATCTCGATGGGGATCACGGCGCTAACAGCTCCTGAATCATAGTTCAACTTCAACCACTCTTCGCCCTCCACACTGCAAAGGTAGGTGGGCGATCCATCCTCGTGCTCGGTGTTCATGCTGTTGTGGTCCACGTCCTCATGCACTGACGCTGACTCCTGGGCTGGTTCTCCTCCTCGGGATCGACTCCTCGTTCGACTATCATCTCCACTGCGGGTCAGTCCAGGCGGGATCGATGGTGTCCAATCAGGCGTCCTCGAAAAGTCAACTCCGACTGCTCTATCTCGGCTTTGGCTCGCCCTGATGGATGGGACACCAGTGAAGATTCTCCTCCTCGGCCTCTGACTGGATGCCTCGACTGTCTCCTCCTCAGCATCCTCACGCTCAATCTCAACAGCCTCTGAACCAGGTGTCGTTGGATCTCCTGGCGCTCCTCCAACATCTGAGAAGAGCGCGTCCTCCTCTCGCTCCTCGTCTGGACCAAGCGGGGAGTAGACCTGGAAATGCTCACCTTCTCCATCGCCAATGGCTGAAAGGTCCAAATGCGACAACTCCGGCTCCTTCTCAGGCTGCTGCGACGATTGGCGTCCATCTTCAACTGAATTTGCTGAGCCTCCTTTGCCCTTGCCCTTCTTGAAGCCTCCATCGGACTTGCCCTTCTGACCACTCTTGCCTTTCCCTTTGCCGGTATTGCTCCAGCAACCCTTTCCATAGTGGCCATACTTCATGCACACCCAACATTGCACATTGTCCATCCTCTTGCTCTTTGGTGGATCTCCTTTGTTGGATGTCTTGCCTCCTCCTTTGCTTCGGCACTCTGATGCCTTGTGCCCCAACTTGCCACAGGCGTGGCATGTCATCTTGTTGGCATTGTTGCCGGTCTTGCCACCTTTTCCTTTGCCGCCCTTCATCAATGCTCCCAACTCCATAGGATCATCTTTGGGACCTTTGTTGCGGCTTGTTCCAAGTTCCCTCCTGCTGAGATTGAGGGAATGCCTGGTGGTGGCATAGCTGCTCAACTTGTCGAAGAAGCTCTCGAAGTCGCTGAACTCATCTGCCCTCAGCATGAAGGTCTCCTCAAGCGACTCCGGCATCAACCTGTAAAGCCCGGCAATCAATGAATCAGCCGACACAACACAAGGATTGCCTGCATTGTCTGTGAACTCTTCATATTGCTTCTTCTTTGCCAACCAATGCTCAAGCGAACTCCCCAACTCTTCAACCGACTTGCACTTGTTGGGGTTTTGAACCATGCTCAAAATTGTGACACGCCGCATTGAGCTCGTGGGGTCATACTCATTGATCAACCTCCTCCAGGCTTCAAGACTGTCTGTACCTGAATTGCGGACCACTCTGTTGGCATCACCTGTTGTAAATGAAGTCAAATAGGCTCCAAGACCTTCCAACATACTGTCAATGTCGTCGATCTTCTCGATGTCGTCTGCAGCGCTGCCAAACACGTCATTCCGAGTCACCACCTTCGTCTCTCCAAAGTGGGCCTCCTTGACAATGGTCTTGCGCTGCTTGCCAGCCCATGACAACACAACTTCAACCTCCCCACCAAACTTGGCCTTAGCAAAGGTCTTGAACTTGTAGACCCATTCCGAAAAATCCTGGTCGCTCTTACCAGAAAATTTGAAGGGCTGTCCAACACCTTTTGTATCCACCAACTCGCTCTTCTGCGATCCGGCCAGCCTCAATGCAATGCTCCTCTCCTCTTCAGCTCTTGCAGCACGGCCGAACGCATGTTGCAATTGATGTTGCAACTGCATCATCTGCTGTTGGTGGCTCAACAACATCTCCTGCTGAACCTGTATCTGCGCCTGCAGGTCCAGCAAAGGATCCATCCCCTGTCCGGTAGGGGAACCCATCAACCTTCAAGCGAGGTGGTACACTTTCTCGATTTGTGCCCAGTTCAACCAGACTTACGCTACCATGATCAACGGATATGCTCGAATGGACCGAACGGGCCGCTTCCTTTTGGGCCGCGATGCTCAAACGTCGAACACATCGGCTTATATATATATATATACAAATGAGGGATATTTTTGAGAAGCGCGATGAGAGAGTGAGAGAGAGAGAGAGAAAAAAAGAATAATTATCCCGGCAAGAGAGAGAAAAAGAATAATTATCCCGGCAAGAGACCCCAAACAGTGTGTGTGTGTGTGTGAGGTCTATAAGCAAAATGTCTAGAGATCTAGACGCACTGGGGTCCAGAGAGGTGATGGTGGTGGAGTGAGAGTGAGAGTGAGAGTGAGAGTGAGAGCGAGAGTGAGAGTGAGAGTGAGACAGAGACTGAGAGTGAGAGTGAGAGCGAGAGTGAGAGTGAGAGTGAGAGTGAGTGAGTGAGAGTGAGTGTGAATGTGAATGTGAGTGAAGAGTGGGTGTGAGTGAGAGTGAGCGTGAGGGTGAGCCTGTGTGAGTGAGTGAGAGTGAGAGATTGAGCATCTGGGAGCACAAAGGGCTGCGCTGCGTAGAATTCTGACATCGAAGTTCACATGGTACTGCGCACGCCACGAAATCTGCACTTCGAAATCAGAGCACCTCGACGATCACCACCGTGCCAAAGCGCTGCACCTGCCACGAAATCTGCACTTCGAACCCTTGCACTTGTCACGAAAGTCGACTTTGGACCACCAAAACATGAGGTTTCCCTTGCGCCTGCCCCGAAAAGTGATCACCATAATCACCGGCCGCGGCCACCCAGATTTCGCGAGCCTACGCAGTCGAAATTCATGTGGACGACTTCGAGACGTCCACGCACTTAGATAATGCGTTTGTAGTTATATACTTCTGCCCCACAAGGAAAGGAATGGCTTAACGGAAAGGCGAGGCGTCCAAACACTTGAAGGTGTTTCAAAAAATGGTTCACGCGCATCTGCAGAATCTCAACGGCAGCTCGCGAGCGGCTGAAGGCGGCGGTGGGAAAAAGATTTGGGGGAGGTATCGTGAAGAAAAACCATGGAACCAACGAACAGCGGCAGGGTGGACCATTGGTGTCAATGTGTTCGAAGCAGGTACGTCAATCCGGCGTCGGATTGATTTCACGGACCAGCGCAAGCGCCTTTGTTAGTGCCAGACTTGCACGGTCCTTGGCGCCCCCTGCATGGAACAAAAACTCTTTGGGACAGAGTGTGACACACACACACAGAGCAGACTTCGGCGCAGCCAGTCGAGGAAAAATCCTGAATAGCCACCTAACAAGCTTTAGCAAAGAAAGAGATAGAGTGCTCTAGCGGCATGCAAGAGGCCTGAGTTACTACACGACTGCAGCTGAGTTACGACAAACCAAGCCCTTAGAAGAGAGAAAAAGCAGAGAACAGAAACGCATGTGGAAGGCAGTGGAAGGAGAGAAAAAATTGCAAAAAACTTGCGCAACCCCTGACTAAAACTTAACAAGCCTCTAGAAAGTGAGAAAAGGCAGAGAAGAGAAGCGCATCTGGAAAGAAAAAACTGACTGTAAAGAATTGGGTGTATTCCGAGCAGTGGTGCCAAATGAACGGCAAGTTAATTGAGAGTTCCATCTGGAACAGTGTCATGTGAAGTTTGACACAAAGAAGCCGAGCCCGGCGCAACCTGAGTTACACCCAACAAGCCTCTAGGAAGAGAGACAAAGCAGAGAAAAGAAACGCATCTGAAGGAGAGAAAAAATGACTGCAAAAAGCCTAGGCTACGGCCCAACGTTGTAGGAAGAGAGAAAAAGCAGAGAAGAAAAAAACACGTGGAAGGAAAGAAAAGTGACTGCAAAAATCTGGACGCATTCGGATTAAAACTGGAACATGAAGTATTCTGGGTGAAACGAATGCATTCAGTACATTACCGTAGCTCTGCAGCATGGATTCATCATTCGAGAGGTGAAACGGATTCTATGATGTGATTCCAATAAGAGGTTCTGCGTCATAAGTTGGTCCAAAAAGGGCTTTCAGGAAGTTCTCTCCTATGTAGGGGTAAAGACTCAGTAACGCCCTTTCTGTGCTGATCACACACCTTGCAAAACACACTTCAGAGAAGAGCTCTAAAGAGCAGAGTTTCAGTGGAGATCTCGCTGTTGCATTAGCGCTTCATTAGCCCTTTAACGCGGAAACAACGCATGAGACAGCATTGGCCATACACAGGTTCACAACGATTCGACAAGATTCACAAATGCAGGTACACATCAGGACGTCTTCCGATGCTTCACCAGAAAGTGTGGACGTCTTCGTTGGCAGTGATTCCACAAGCTCTGTCACTGCCCCCTGCCTGCGCAAAAAGGTAAGTTAGTGTGAATAAGTAGAGTAGTGTCCCTGGAGACGGGTTAAAACTCACTTCGTTGGCCTAAACAGCGCTTCAGCCTAGCCTATCAGCTGGCTCTCGTAAAAGTAGGAAAAGAATAGGAAGCCAGAAAAGCAAGACAAATTGAGAAGCAACAAATACAAAGCAACGGCAATAAAGGCCATGGAAAGCAGAAGAATACGCCACAAGAAGACAAGACGCAGGAAAGTAAAGAAAAGCAGTAGAGAAGCAAGGAAAAGCAATACAAACAGCACGAGAAAAGGCATGAAATGGAAGAAAAGCATGAGAAATCACACAGAAGCAATGCAAAGCAAGAAAAGCAGCAAGAAGCAGGAAAAACGCGGGGGAGAGCGAATCGAAGAAAAAAACCCTAAATGGGCCACAAGAATCCCTCCCAAAATAGCCCTCCATTACAAAATGGACTCTGGCTACTCGTAACAAGAACCCTTTCTTTGTTTCTCATTCGTTTTCCTGCCAGACTCCTGAAGTTCAGCCTGCAGCTGCTTCTGTCGCTCATCAGATTGTCTCAGAACTTCCCGCAGCTCGGCAGCCTAACACATATACCAGGTATTGTGTTGGAGATCAAAAAAACACTGGCATATACTGGCATGCTGCTGACCGAAATATAAATGTTCCGTGGCCTCAAGATGCATCCGGATGGACTGCAGCCATGCATGCATGGGCTCAACCTCTTCCTTGAAAGGAGATCTTGTCCAAAATGGCAGCATAATTACTAGCGCTCTGCAACAAGAAAGACATGCACGGTGCCAGTTTGAAGCAATATCCTCGTCACGCGACTCACATCCACCAGTTCCTGCCATAGCCCTGCCTCACATGGATAAATCAACCTCTGACGCTTTTCAAGCACTCGAAACAGCGATGGGTCTAACAGTCTAATAGTTGGAAAATCCACCTTTGTGAGACAGTGTTGGATAGTGGGATGTTACAATGAGACGTCCAACCATCCACAAAAGAGAATGCACGAAGAAAACGACTTTCTTGCACGCTTTGTTCTCTTCATGTTACAGTAGATTGAATTGGAAGAGGCCGTGAACCTCGAACCCTGTTTAGCCGTACTTAAACTCAAACACTTCATGTCGCCATGCTCCGGATCTGAACTTGAGTACGATTCTACAATTGCTTTCGTCACTGTATTTTTGAGAACAGTACAAAAATTTACTTGCATGGAAACTCTGATTGGCAGCCATGCCTTTGCGTTAATTGCTCTGTGGAAGTGATGTGGTTGCGATTGACTGTTCGAGAACACGTCACTGCCATCGTTGTACAAGCCAATCGTTTGCGACACGCGTTTTCGTTACACACCGTTTTGGCCAAGAAGGTCACATTGATTTTGGGAACAATCGATCAGACTACGTGGCGGTTAGTTGCCTTGCTCAGTGTTTCTTGAAGAATCCGATTCTGCTTTCATTGCATTTGGCTGCAATGTACTTGGAAGATCATTTATGATAAGATGGCATTCACTGAATGGAAATTACTACAAATAGTCACAAAGTCATCTGGGAGGACACTGAGCACCCAGCGTCAGCTGTGCAAACGCAGAGCTAAATCTGGAGAAACCCAGACTGAGGTTCGCAGCGCAAGTGTGTGGAGCCAAGATGCTCTAAATGTATGCAAACAATAGTTCAGACCAGCACTCCTTCCAAAGGGTTCTTCTTACCAAGACTTATGGCCTACCAATATAATTAAGGTTGGCTTGTCAATTCTCATGGTGATAAAGCCAACACTTTCATCAAAACTTGTCAATGCTGTTATTCTGCATGTATGCCGAACTCCTTCGCTCAGTGATGTTTTTCGCCTCGCAGCTAGGGAAGTATCATCTGGAGAGCATGCTTCGACTGCACTACTCTCCGCAGGGGTGCTAGCATGGAGAACACATGAGCCATGCTGCATGACTAGAAGCCATTTGCACTGCTCCACTTCCGAATGTGGAACACAACAGCAAAATACAGCAATCCATGAGTCTCCCATGTTCAACACAGTGGGCCAACATGTTAAATGATTTGAAATCCTTGGCCAACTGGCCAGTTGTACAACCAGTCTTGTAGGCCAGTTGAACACTCTTCACTAGTCCGTCATAGTGCCAAATCCTGGAAGGTTGCAGCTCATATTTTTGACACCTGTTTGAACGAATTGCCGTTGGCCGCTTTGGCCTATCATGTTCTTGAGGCAAGGGTCACAGTGATGTTCAGTGTCAACAGGTCGACTGCGAGCACTCGCGACGCCTCAGGCTTGGAGGTGTCCTGTAGAAAGATGGATCTGAGCTTGCGCAGCCAAGATGGTTGAAATGCATCCAAGCTAAGAATACGGTCTTGCACCTAGTATGGCGTAGTCATGCGCAGTCACAAGAAACCTTCTTGCTACGCCTAAGGCGGCACATATGTCAGTGGTAGTGTTCTCGAATCTACTTCACTGTGTTCACGCTTGTGTTGCTGTGTTCCCCGCGGTTCGAGCTTCAAGAATCCCGAGGAATGCATAAAGAATGGTTGCTCTAGGCTGGAGATGTGAGTAGACATACAAACAGCAAGCAAGAGCAAGTATAGATCGCTTGAAAAATCGACTGCTTCAGCAAAACATTGAAGTTCAAGGACAGCGGCTCAGGCACATGTGGCTGAACCCATTGGACTTGCATATAAAGAGATTAGAAAAAACGCAAGGGCCCTTTAAAGGGGCCCCTTATTTGCCTCATCAGTTTTCATGAAGGTAAAGTCAGAATTCTGGCGCTGTTTGTCACTGGCTGGTTGTAAGCATCGTTGCAATTGAAATTGTCATTCGAGTGGCTGCACATTTTTTACACAGCAGTGCTGGCAACAGCAAGCATCGCTGCAGAAAATGCCTTGACCAAGTACTTGGACATAAAGCAATTGAAGAAAGCTGAACAAAAACATAAACAAAGCTACAATCACATGATGGCACGTATCTGTATATACTTTTACGACCAGCCTTGAATGTGTTTGGGCAGCACAACGTTCCCATCTTGGCCAAAGGTGTCATTCAGTTTACAGTGCGCACACTCCATACTGTTCATTCCATGCTAGTACAACAGCTCAGGTGCACAAAAAAGTCTATGCAGGAGCTGGAGACCGCTGTGGCTTCCATGACCAAAGAACAAATATTGAGCGAGTGGAGTTGCAAAAACGCAAAGAATGAGCTTGAGAAGACCACAGGCCGCCACAGCGAGAAGACCTTCGGGGAGATACTAAGTACCTGCCCTGCGACAGTCTGGGAGTCACTCTCAGCAGCTTTGTTTCCAGAATTGCCTCGTTACGAGACAAGGATTGTACTTTTGTTCATTCAGTATGTTGGTTCGTTACTACAAAAGTCTTTAGCTTCTGTCTGCTAGTATGTGATCCCCAAATGTCCGTCTCTGTAAGTTCTGTCTCCAGCCGTATCCTCTTTGGGCAGCTGGAAAAATCTGCATGCCAAGGGCTTGCTTTGTGGGTGTAGCAAAGCCCTCAGGATGTACTCACAGCCGCACGACTTTTGCGCGCTTTGCTGCAGCTCGGCTGCTAAGTGAGAACATCCCAGAACCGAATTCACAGTCCAAGCCAGCGTTTTGAGCAATGCAAGGCAAACAATCTGTCACAGGTGATGGCATCTCTGCAAAAGGACACAAGAAACATCAGGTCTTGTGTAAAGGCGGCTTGCGTTCCGTAACGATTTCCAATCCTTGCTTTGTGCCATCATACTCTTCTTCCAGTCTTCCAATTCAAGCTTCACTCGATGCGAACAGGCTCTGTTTGAAGAATCGGCGCGTCGACCACCTGCCACAAAATTAACAAGATGGAACCCACGAACCCGAGTGCAAACACGTACTTGAAAACAAGTACTTGAAAACAAGCACCCAAACAATTCTTGACACTCTGAGACACTCTTGTGCACTCTTGTAGGACGCATTCTTTTCGGAAGCCTTTGTGGGACACTCTTGTGCACTCTTGCGGAACTTGTGGGACACCTTGTATGACACTCACTCTTGTAGGACACTCTTGCGGAACACCCTTGTAGGACACTCTTGTGGGATACTCTCGTCACGCTTCCATCCGAAACCCTCTCCAAAAGCTTCCCCAATGTGAGCGCCATAGCACCCTACCGCAAACGGTTGCGAACGGCGGCGGACGGTTGCGAACGCTCAGACAACGAGTCGCGAACAAGGCTCTACCCCCAGACCCGCGGAGTTAAACGAGAACCGTTCGCTACGCATTCGGGAGAAAAACAAAGCCACCTACTCAGCAATGCCAAATGAACCAAGCCATCGCTTGTGACCATGTTGAACCTTCAACAAGGGTCCCCTTACGTTTCTTCTCAGAGGCTCAATGCCCAACTTTGCTGTTTCCAGTTTGAGTCATGAGACCAACCTTCGCTGGATGAGGAAGGCCTGGAGGAGGGCCGCGATTCCTGGAGAACAAGCACAGCGGCTTCACGACGAATGCGTATGACTCTATGACCTGACCAGTCGATTTTAAGTTCGCGCATCACCACTGTGGAAGCTACGAGTTCGAGTTCTTTGCGTCTGGCTGCACGTTGTCTTTGAGAGCACAAGTGGTTCACATGCAAGTGAACTTAAATTGTATGGTCACTGCTGCTGTTCTGCTGGTGCAACAGGGTGCCACAAAGAAGATTCGCTCTTTCACACGGTGCGGCGATGCGTGATGTGTGCACGATGATGCCATGGTGATTTGCTATGTGGTTTAGGGTAGTATGATGATTTGCAACGCGAATGGCGGTCATGTAGTGTGTGGTGATTTGCGCTGTGGTGTTGATGTGCCACAGGGCCACATTGTTCTGCACACGGGACCTCAGGTGCTTCCAACAAAGTTTCCCAAGCTCACCTACGCATGTATAGTCTAGTTATGTCTAGTTACCGACGAATACTTAGAACGCTAAATTTTCCCGAAATGAAAATCATTGCTTAGAACTTGTAAAGAAATATACGTAAAATTAGTGATGAATAGACACAACCGCACACCTAGAACCAGTTAGATGATGAACCGGTTTAAGATGTTGATAGATGTGTGATTCTTTAAATTAAGGTGGCCCTGGAGTAGCACCATACTTAGAACCTGCTGCAATATGAAAGCAGAAAGGATAATGAACTGAATTTGAAGCCCAATGATGCTTTCAATCCTAAACAAGCCTGTGAAAGCTTGCCATGTAGATATGTTGACATCATCACACCATGCCAGCTATGGCATAGCAGCTAAAGTCTGAACCTTTGTGCAGCATCACACCTACAACCTCCATCAAGATGAAGGCCAAAGAAAATGATAGCAATGATTTCTGATGGCAACGTCTCCCCTGCCACCATTGCTTGCATCGACTGACGTGACTGCCTTGCAATTGAGCCAAATGTTTAGGCTTGGCCACACCACCTGGAAAGAATCATGTGCCCTGCCAAGCGGGAAATAGCTTCCGGAACTCTCACTTAGAACCACTGGAAGTGCACGCTAGCAAGAATCTTGTTTTTTGGGTCAATGTCTCCAGCCGCGTAAATAGAATCCATGTTTTTCCAAAATAGGTTCCAAGTACTTGTCGGTGGTTATTTGCGGTCGCAGAAACTTGGATCTGAGCCATAATTTGTTCCCAAAAACGTGAACCATACTTTTTCTGCTTTGAAACAACGGAGTAAAGAAGCGCTCCCGAGAAGACGAGGAAGTGATCCAGTGGATGTTGGCCTCGTTGCATGGGAAGACGTCGGGTACAAACCGCATGACTTTTGCTTTAGGCCAGGAATTGTTCTCGGAAAGAGAAGTGCTTTGAGAGGGACTCCAGAGCGTGTTTGTAAAACCTCAGCCACCGACACTGTACCCAGAAGTGGTACATTGGGTGAACCTGAAGATGCCGTAGGCCTGAGATCTGGTTAAGAGCATCAAGTATTCAATGACTCAATTTTCTGATACCAAAGCAACTCAAGTTCTCTCAAACTTTCCTGCCTGCAGGTCTCGCCTGCAAGCTTTGTACACTGGCTCCACCACACAGCATGTCCCTCCCCTCCATATCTTGAAGAAAGAAAAATAGTAGCACAAAGACAAGACTTATGGTGTCGTGAGTGTTTTGCATTGAGAGCATCTCTCTGTCAAGCTAAGGAAGAAAACATCTAGAATCTAGGCGTCGAGCTTTTCGAGAAGAATGTGCCAGGTGGTCCTGGCAGCGCTTCACCTGAGGTCAAGTTGAATGGCCGTCCTTGTCAGAAACACCACATGCAAATTAGATGAGTTAGAACAGAATGAGAACTCAATTAGCTGAGAACTCCTTTGCAAATATCAACCTGCGGGAGTAGCTAAGGGCTCGACTAGGCCGCTTGTCGGCCTCTAAAGATTGTTGGTTTCAAACATGATGTGTGTAGGCAACTCGTGCACAACTTGCTCAAGAGTCAACAAAATAAATAGGAAGCCGCGCGTGATCAAAGCAGCATTTTCCACTTGTTGAATCAAATTTGCAGACCCTCCATGTTTTGAGGGACCAAGTGACAAGTGAAAACTATTTAATTTACCCCAATTGATCAGGATAAATGTGGCCTTCAAGATGGGTTTCAAAAAGGCCTGATCGAATACATGCTACTGCTACAGCGATTTCAAACCTCAGATGGACTTGATGAACTCGTCGATCAGTTCCTTGGAGGTACAAGCAATTCTCCGCAACTGAACTTTGAAGTAGCAAGCAGCATAAAGTGGCCAAGGGTCTGCCACCTTGCCCGGTTCCTGCAGGGTGCTTTTGAGAAAACAATTTTGAAGATGCTTATGTAAAGGATTGCAAAAGTTCTGTAAATTCTTTCTCCACAACAGCATAAGTTGTTGTTGGACGTGGTTTCATGAGCGTAGTTATGCTTTTGTGGCTCCTCTAGCATCGGGACGTGGCCAGCATTCGCCACAGTTTTCATCTGTGCCAGTGGCATTGCTACAGCAAGGGCCTCCACGTCCGAGGCAGAGACAATGCCATCCTGGCCACCTGAGGCTCAAGGGAAGCACGAAATTAGTATGGCTAAATGCAGTTCACCAACTTCCTAGATGTAAAAGTTCAAAGCAGTGTTCCACACATTCAACACGCTCAGAACTGCTAAGGGGTTCAAAGTATGCTACAGTCGCCTCTAATCAGCAAACTGGGAAGACTGCGGCACTTGGCAATCTCGTCATCACTGACATTTCTCACCTGTCTGTAATAGGCTTTGCACCTAGGAAGTCCAGGGTCACAAATTGTGCATTCATTTGACACAAAAACAGCCGAATTCGAGACTCGAAGTTAGAAGGAGGCCATCGCTACTAGGGTGGAGGCCATTGCTTCTAGGTTGGAGGCCATCGCTGGTAGGTGGAGACTCGAAGTTAGAAGGAAGAAAACGCTCCTCCCAAGGGTGAGGGATCAAACTAGACGAGGAGTGGCCCGAAAGCATTTTTCATCGCGTAGGAAGTCAGAGTGTGAGTTATCTGTTAAGTGTTCTGTGTGAAGTGTTAAGTCGAGTGAGTTGAGGTAGTGTGTGGGTCTCTGTGTGTGTATCTATGTCTGTGTGTGTATGAGTCTCTGTCTGTGAGTGTGTGTCCGAGTAAGTTGAGGCAGTGCGTGGGTCTCTGTGTGTGATGTGTGTGTGTGTGTATGAGTCCCTGTCTGTGTGTGTGTCCATGTCTGCTGCTGGTGAAGGTCTTCACTGTAGATATAGCGAACGAAGTGCCTCCCAAACCCCCCACCGGCGGCCAAGCGGTGACAGCCCAGCTCATCGTCGTGAGCATTTGAGCTGCTGGTAAGGGGAGAAGCAGCGTGAACGCCTCCAGGAAATCTCACTGAAAAAAGCGAGCTGGAATGAACACAGAAAATTGCTGAGGCAGGTACGCAACAAGTTTGTCGAAGCAGTGACCTGTCAGAGGAGATGCGTCCATCGATGTACGATCAGAGGGAACGTTTCCTTCACTCCAGGACACAGCTTTTCTAGCCCAGCTCATCGTCGTGAGCGTTTGTGCTGCTGGTAAGGCGAGAAGCAGCGCGAACGGCTGCAGGAAATCTCACTGCACGGCTGCAGAGGGCTGCGCGCGCATCGCACCAATCGCACTTTCGCCCGCATTTCGCCCACTCCACACGCACGATCTCCGCAAAGGGTTGCGCGGACATGGGGGCGTCTGCATTTCGCGCACTCGACACGCACGATCTCCGCAGAGGGTTGCGCGCATACCGGACAAATCCCACTCTCGCCTGCATTTCGCGCACTCGACACGCACGATCTCCGCAGAGGGTTGCGCGGGCACAGACCCAATCGCACTCTCGCCTGCATGTCGCGCGCTCGACACGCGCGATCTCCGCAGAGGGTTGCGCGCACACTGGACAAATCGCACTCTCGCCTGCATTTCGCGCACTCGACACGCGCGATCTCCGTAGAGGGTTGCGCGGGCACAGACCCAATCGCACTCTCGCCTGCATTTCGCGCACACGACACGCACGATCTCCGCAGAGGGTTGCATTTCCGGTTGACGCTGTTCGTCCCACCCTCCGCCTTTAAGAGAGAATTTATAAAGTGGGGAAATGTTTTTTCATTAGGACATCTCCCGTGCAAGTTTTTCATTTCATTCATTAGGACATCTCCCGTGCAAGTTTTCCATACTCTTACTTATGCATACTCTTACATGCCCTTTATTAGGACATCGCCTTTCACACTCACACTTACATTACACTTGGATACGTATAGACGTGTAAGTCTTCATATTCATGTTCAAGTGTAAGCGTGGAAGCGTAAGTGTTCAAGTGTACGCGTCGAAATGTCAGTGTTCAAGTGCAAGTAGAAGTGTTAGTGTTCAAGAGATTTTCCGGAAGAACCCTTCGCAATGCTTTCGGGTAAATTATAAAAGATCAGCATCAAAAAATAGTCAAGAGGGATCAAAAAGAAAAAGAACATGATCAAAACAATAATGTTCCAACGAATAGAAAAAGAATTGGGAAAGGACAGTAGTAGTGGTAGTGGTAGTAGTAGTAGTAGTACTACTACTACTACTAGTACCACTACCACTACCACTACCACTACCACTACTACTACTACTACTACTACTAGTAGTCGTACTACTTCCTACCACTACTACTACTACTACTACTACTAGTTACTACTACTACTACTACTACTACTACTAGGAAGAGTAGTAGTAGTCGTCGTAGTGTTAGGAGTAGGCGTAGGCGTAGGCGTGGGAGTAGGAGCAGGACTAGGAGTGGGAGTCGTGGTGGTGGTAGTAGTAGTGGTAGTAGTGGTACCAGCGGTAGTAGTAGTAGTAGTAGTAGCAGTAATAGTGGTGGTAGTAGTAGTAGTAAGGGCAGTAGTAGTGGTAGTAGTAGTCGTAGTGGTGGTAGTAGTAGTAGTAGTGGTAGCCATAGTAGTAGTAGTAGTAGTAGTAGTAGTAGTAGGAAGTAGTAGTAGTAGTAGTAGTAGTAGTAGTAGTAGAGGTCGGAAGTAGTACGACTTAGTAGTAGTAGTAGTAGTTGTGGTAGTAGTAGTAGTAGGGGTAGTAGTAGTAGTAGTAGTAGTAGTGGTAGTAGTAGTAGTAGTACTAGTAGTAGTGGTAGTGGCAATAATAGTATTAGTATTCCAAGTCGAAGTAGAAGTAGAAATAATAGTAGCGGTAGTAGAAGTCATAGCAGCAGCAGCAGGAGGAGGAGTAGTAGTAGTGGTGTGGTGGTGGTGGTGGTGGAAGTAGTAGGGGTAGGGCACAGCGCTTCCTACTAATCGAAAAATTCTGGCTGTCACGCCAGGCAAAGGCGAAGGTGTATCATCCACCTTTGTGGCAGCGTCAACGCAAAGCAGATAGTAGTTGTGGTACCTGTGGTAAGACTCGTACTGGGGCGGGGTGCTCGGAGTGATAGAAGTACTGGTAATAGTGGGGGTAGTGGACGGCAGTGGGAACTAATAAAACAGCGGGAGGGGGTGCGGGGGAGGGCGCAGCGCCTCTCCCGCAACGCAAATCAAGTATAGACAGCGCTGGGCTGCTTCGTTTCTTGATTGGCTTAATTGGGCGTCACAGCTCAAGGTGAAGGTCTTATCATCCAACTTTGATGGGTTGCCAGAGCTGAGCCTGCACTTCCATTCACCTTTGTGGCGCTGGCACAGCTAAGCGAAGGTGGGCCTTATCATCCTCCTTTCAGGCGTTGTCACGGTTACCTTATCGCCCACCTTTGCGGCAGTGTCAACGCAAAGAAGATAGTAGTTGTGGTACCTGTGGTAGCACTCGTAGTGGGGTGTCGGGGCGATAGATTAAAACAGTTGGGGGCGGGGGAGGGCGCAGCCACGGCTAAGCAAAGGTGGGCCTTATCATCCACCTTTGTGGCACTGTCAATGTCAACGCAAAGAAGATAGTAGTTGTGGTAACTGTGGTGAGACTGGTGTTGGAGGTACTGGTAATGGCAGGGGTAGTGGCAACTCTTAAGAAAGCGCGAGGGGGTACGGGGGAGGGCGCACCGCCTCTCCCGCAATGCAAATCAAGTATAGACCGAAGGACCAGGAGACCGAAGGACCAGGGACCAGCGGACCAGAGGACCAAAGGACCAGCGGACCAAAGGACCAGAGGATTAGGGGACCAAAGGACCAGGGGACCTAGTAAGGATTTTTTATCATATTTTTTTTATTGGTCCTGTTATGTTGTTCTTGTTGATTCTGTTCTTTTCTCTTTTGATCCTGATGCCTCCCTCCAACCTAAGAGCGATGGCCTCTACCCTAGTGGCGATTGCCTCCAACTGATTTTAGAAGGAAGAAAGCGCTCCAGCAAGCTACATGTACATGGGATTCGCATTGCAGCCATCCGTCTCCTGCTGAATAAGCTCTGGATCATTGGAAGCAAGCGCCATCTGCAAGAAGGCCTCGCATGATTTCTAGCAAGCCCGAACAAGCATGGTATGCCAGTTGTGCTTTTTACACACTTCAAAGAGAATGCTTGGACTATACTCCATTGGTCCATACCCTTCTTCAACTGGGGTCGTAGGTCTGCAATTTCCTACACATTGCAATGTTTGACTTCTTGCTTTTGGACCATTGGACAACTTCCCCTTTCTTGAAAATATCTGACTGAAACATCAGGAAAACTGTCCTGGGCACATCCAAACAAAACGCAGGAAACTGCAGCCTTTGTAAGGCTCGGCTGCAGCCACTGCAGGACAAACACTGGGAGTCGGAAGATTGGATGGCCTGGCAACTCAAGTCTAAAGGCACTCTTCGTCTTTTTTGGCTTTTCTGCACTCCTCTCTTTGGGTCTAAAGCAACAACACAAACATACATCTCCTGCCTTCAGGGAACTGCTTTGCTGCTCCCAACAGAATCAAACCAGCAATGGTGTCTCCGGCCAACATGGTGTCTGCCAACATTGCCCCAAGCCGAAGAACCAAGTGGCTTCCAAAGGAGTGTCCCACTACCTCACGAGGGTAAGCTGCTTTCCATTGGCCAAACTGAACTCTTGAAAACTCTTGGGTCTGAGAAAACCAGACCAGACCCCCTCAAACCTCCACTGCCCCACTGCTACTAAGCAAGCCACCAAAATATCTACATATCCTGGTCAAGTTGTTCTTCCAACAACACCTTTATCCTTGCGTTACAAACCAAGACAGTCCCAACTAGTCATTTCGTATCGCACATGATTTGCGGTCCCACGGTTGGGTTGGACGGATTAGTTTGCATGAGCTGGTGGCCCAAAGCCGTAGCTTGTCACAGGCCTGCTTAAAGTATAAATTCGATTGTTTGGGGGATTATGACTAAGCGCACCATCTGTCTGGGATCACTGTGCAACTGCATCTGAGGTTGTCTGAAAACCATCCCACTTCTCTACACCACTGTTAGATTTACCGCGCTTTCTTCTTTCTTATCGCTTTACAGTGCTTTGCTAGCTGCAATATGTGTGTTTACATTTGCGTGCACTGCATGCATGCGCTGTGTGGAATCTGGCAAACATGACAACACGATTACAGTTACAGTAGATCGAGGCACAGTTCATTCCATACTAGTAGCCTAGTAGCAACTCGATCTTCCTGTATAATGGCGATCCCGTGCGCAGGCCATGGCCCACAGGAATTTGTCTTAGGTTCACTGCGCGATCGTATCTGTTAAAAACATGGCTTTCTAATTCGCAAGAACTGCAGCACAACATGTGTTGTCTTTGTGAGGGTGACAAACCTGAGATGAGAAACACGTGAGGGTTCAAAAGTTTCTAGGGCTACTGTTTTCCTTTTTTATCACTTTACCATGGATGGGGCATGCTTCTGGCAAGACGGACATGCGATCATCAAATTTGTGCTGGGAGGTTTTATACTCTCTCATCTGAGCTCCCAGGCGAAATATTTCCCAGGCCACTTCGCATCCCAAATCGCTTTTAGGTCGTAAAGAAGCTCGTCAAAAGCATATGATTCCCAATGATCCTGACCAGAAGTGAACCCAATTGCAGCGACAAACAACTTTGCCGTGGGTCTGCGATCCCCTTCCCTGAACACTTAGCCACAACTTGCAAGACTTTTGACTTTTACATCAGCTGTTTTCTGCAAGAACGCTTTTGTGTTTGTTGCTCCTTGCTCCCCTATTTTGGACAAGAACCCTTTAAAAACACCCGGTTTGCATTGCATGTTCGCTCAGTCCGGCTTGTCGCTCAAGCCACACCCCAGCCAGTCATAGCACACTACACCATAGCCCAGCGTCCTGCACATGTTGCACATCTCCAAAATAGAAACGTTTGACCCCAGAGCCGGAGGCCCTTTAAATGGCATTTTCCCAGGAGCACTGCAAAGGGTTCTGTTGAAAAAAACTAGCTCAAGACCTGCTACTTTACAGCTATTTGAAGGCCTGCCTCTAGCACATGGACATCCATGTCTACACTTCGTTGGTCTACTTTGGGATGCTTACATTGCAGGTGAAGAAGTTCACTGGTAACTTTTTGACGGTTATCTTGCATGTGTAGACTTGCCATATGATATCTAAGGACAATTGCGCACAAAATCTGACATGGAGGACCGTTTCTTAATATTTTCTCTCCCTCCGTCCCTCCCTCCCTCCCTCCCTCTCTCTCTCTCTCACTCTCTCATTCTCTTAGGTTGGAGGCCACTGCTAATAGATTGGAGGCCGTTACAATCAGATTGGTTCCTCTCTATCTCCATGATGTTACACATTGGTCTGTTTTGCGCGCACGTTGTCTGTGTTCCCGGGCCATTTGCCATCTAACATTGGTAGCAAGAGGAGTGAAGCACTCTAGTTTCTTCTGGCCAACCTGTCACAAGCCCTGTGGTCTATCCAGTGCCCTGTGAAGCCTCACGTTTTACATGAAGGATACCAGCTAAAGTTTGATTCCAAGTGTCTTCAAAGCCTCCGCCAGGGCCAAGTATTGGGTCAAAGATGCAGCACTTCCATGCACGAGCAAACATGTTGGCCTCAGAAGTACAAGAAGTTGACTATGAGATTAAAGCCACTTGAAATCCACCTTGCATAGCTCCGCTTTCAAAGATCTTCGCTATGTTTTGCCACTAGCATAGCAAGTTGTAGTCCGACATCAAGGGCCTATGCGAGCATGGTAGCGTTCCTGCCCGAGTGTGACCGAGCAGAATTACGTTAACCTTTGGCTTTGCCAACCTTGCTCTACTGCGTTTCGAGGCTGCCATCTGGCGCCCTCTCCGGCCACACGCGCGCGCAAAACAACAATGGTGAGGGGTGGCGCTCTCCGGCCACAATTGCACGCAGAACAACATCAGCTAAGGCTTTCGCCTTCCAGGCCTATGGCCGTGGCCCTGCATGGCATGCCGAACGAGGTGGCTCAGAACGCGGGCCGTGCCAGCACCGAAGCATTCGAGTTGCTCGGGAACAGGTGGGAATGAATGGACGTTGGCAAGCATGAAGAAAGAAGTAATACTTCTTTCAAGTGGCCTAGCCACAGTCTCCAAAGCATAAGGGTCGGCAGCACCAGGATCGGGCCAGCACAGGGCTGGCCCTGAGTAGGTCCGCAGGACCCCGCTGCTTTTATATTAGCGTTTTTTGGAAAGCGTGCTTTCAATAGATTATCATATTTTAACACGTTCGTAAGGGTACCCCCTCCGTCAAGATGGCTTAAGATGGGCCGCTCGAGTTGCTTTTGCAGTATTTGCATTTGTTGTTTATGGTTGTGTTTATGGTCAAAGCAACAACCACCACCACAACAACCACCTTTGCCCCTGCCGCCTGCCACTCAACCCCCTGCTGGCCTTCTGTTGGTCGTAAGCCCCATAATATTCTATCATCAAATTGTAAATGTCAGGTAGTTGTGTAAAAGTACGATGAGCACGATGAGGCTAGGCTGTCACGTCTTAGTCAGAACATCGCGAAGCATGTTCACAAACGCTCAGACGTCCGCATTTTGGGCTCTCGAGGTTCTTGTCTTAAAACTCGTAGCTTCCGGCCTGGTCGGACCTGTAACGTTCCAAGAACAAAGCCGACAACGATTCTCTTCGTGAAATCCCAAAATGCGCCTCTACCAAAGTGGCTTGCTTCAACAGTTCTTGACCACTCCGCCATGAGATGTTTTCACACGACATTGCAAATTAAACAACGCAAAACTTCAATATGCCTTGGCTGCATGATTCGCACTGGTGGTCGTGTATCTGTGTATATGACTCTCTATCTAGAGAGACAGAGAGAGAGAGCGAGAGATAATAAAAGTAAAACACCCGTGTGTATGTGTGTGTGTGTTCGTGTGACAGTTCCTGAGGATGAGTATCAAGCAATTCTGCTTTGGGCCAAAAGCTCAACGTCAAGGAGTCCAAATTCATTTTTCATCTAGACGTCTTCTTTATGGAAGCCACAAAAGGCTCTGCAGCATTGGTTTGTTGTGAATTCGTTTTGGGCGCCTGAGAAGGAGTGGGTGGCTGCGTAGAGAGCAATGGGCCACGGGTCGAAGGCTGCACAGGGGGTTTGCATCATTTTGCGTCCAAAAGTGCACACGACCGTGTTGAGAACTGTTGAACTGTTGAGCATACTTGGAAAAAATGGACATTTCTCAACACGTGCCAAATCCTTCCCCTTTTGCTAATTCTGAGGTCCCATCAGCAGAGGCAAATTTGTTGAGAGCACCAGTCGCCTGAGAAAAGGCGGTGAGAATCCATTGCTTGCAAAACCTCCTAGTAGCGTCCTTGTTCCTAGTAGTAAGGCCAAAAGCCCCTAGTAGCGATGCCCTTGTTCCTAGTAGCAAAATGATTTGTGTCTCTTGAGCAATGAAATCACACCTCTGCAGCCTGTGCTGCTGCGCTCAGCAGAGTTCCCGGTGCTGCAAGCGTGGTGGGCCTCTGTTGATATTGCCCGGCGCAGGACTGGTTGAGTTGTACAAGCACATGTCAAAAAGATTCATAAAGCATGCTGGTAAATAGAACTGCCTAGGTGATGCTGCACATAAATGATAGGATCTGTATAATTTTGGGGTTGGTTCACGAGTTGTTTCAACCAGCAAATGCACCGGTAAACAGAATCCCTTTGCAACAACGCTGGGGCTGCTTTGTCTGAGTCTCAAGCGTCAACGGGGGAGCTGGGCAGAGGCCGCCAGGAGAATTCTCAGGAGGAGGAGGCGCCTTGCAAGTCTGTTTACAGCTCCCAAGCGAGGAGGCCATCATTGGTAGGTTGGCCATCGCTATTAGGTTGGAGGCCAATACTACTAGTAACAAGAAGCTATAAGAAGCTACTAGGGGCTCCTGGCCACACTACTAGGAGCAAGGACGCTACTAGGGGCTCCTGGCATCGCTACTAGTAACAAGAAGCTTCTAGGTTGGAAAACTCGCAACTTGGGTCCAAAAAACTCGCCTTGTCATCATCCTCAGGTAGTCCTCTCCTGAATAAATCCAAACTAAGAAGAAACATGAAGAAACAATCTGTCTGGGGATGCTGCGGAGGACAAGAAGGAGGTAGCAAGGGCGGAGCAGGTGGAGCAGTGCGAGTAAGACACCTTCGAGTTGTCAAGATGGGATGCAAAAGAGTTGGGGGTGTAGATGCAAAGGCAAAATCTTCACAACTTCTGGCATAACTGTTGCGGTGATGCTTTTGGATCTTCAGTTTCGAAAGCGGACAAAACAACGTCAGGAAAAATCAAAAGGTCCACCTGCCACCAAGTGCTCCATTCGGTGTAGAGGGCAAGCTCATAGCCATACGCGCTGGTGGCATTGGTCCCCCC